GTACTGGACTGGAGTTCNGCAAGCTGCTATCGATCACGGTGGTGGGCAAATACTTCGCTGAGCACAACAAGGTCGCACTCAGCGTCATCACAAAGAAAATAGCCCCTAAACGCGGGTAAGATAGCACACGCACACGCACACGCACACATCGCACGCACTGACGCTTGGTTCGGATTGGTGCAGGCCGCTTCCAAAGACGCTTTCCGCAAGGAGACCGTTGTCCGATAGCACTAGCTCGATCGTAAGCTCGCCAGCGAACTCACAGGTCCCCTCGGGGCCCAGTCCTCTGAGCATGAGCACCAACAGCCCCATTGGGACGATCGTGCGACCTCCACCGAGACCGAGCGACGAGGACGACCACAAGAAGCGCGCTGCAGTGATCGCCCAAAAGCTCAGCGAATCACAGGTTTGCCACCAATTTGTCGGATTTGTGCATGTGTGTCGTGTGTGTCGTGTGTGTCGTGTGTGTCGTGTGTGTCGTGCTTCAAAGGGACAAGGGTAACAAGTGTCTATGACATTCCACCACCAGAGCGCGCTCTACAAGGTGCAAACGCAGATACGGGAACTGCAGAGCATGTACCGGAAGGAGCTGGACCAGTGCCTGTCCAACATCGCCCTGACCAATGTCATCCGCCAAGCCGACGAGGCGGGCTTGAAGAAGCGCACCACGGAGGAGGCCGCCGCCGAAGCCCTGGTCGAGGCCGAAGCCGAGTCGGAGACCACCGCGTCCGAGGTCTCGGAAGCGGAGGCCGACGACGATGAAGAGGACGGCGCCGATGACGACGACGGCGCCGATGATGAGGAATTCGCAACGGCCACGGTCAACGAGACCGAGCTCGCGATGCGGTTCTTCAACGACCGCAAGGAGCTGCTGGAGCGCATCGTAGCCAACCTGCAGGAAATCCTGGACTCCAAGGACCTGATGACGCCGTCGGTCGAGCGTCAACCGTCGTTCAAGCGTCTGGCCGATCTGAAGGCCATCAAGGACTCTGAGGCTTCGGCTTCGGCTTCGGGCGCTGCCGCCGGTCCGTCGCTCCGGACACCGCCGCAGACGCCGCTGCCGCCGCTCCCCGCGCACGCCAAGGCCCGCATGTCGTGCGGCCAGCCGGCCTTGGTGCGCGTCAGCGAGCTGATGGAGAGCGAGGCCATTCAAAAGAACGACTCCTCGCCCAAGCCCGGGGGCAAGGACGGCGTCGACGAGGAGGAAAAAGAAAGGTATTGCGTGTTGCGGTGTTTCATGTGTGTCATGTGTGTCATGTGTGTCGTTCACTCACAATTGTGAGCTGCACAGACAGAGGAAGAGGTTGCTTACGCCACTCGAGCGAACGCGGGAAGAGTTTTTTGAGACGGAGGAGAGCTACGTGGCGGGTCTGGCAATCATAGTCAAGGTACCTTAAACTCCTGCAACTGCCAGCAGGGCAAAACCCGTCTGACGCCGACAACGACCTACCTCTATCTCTAGGTCTACTTGGTGGGGGTCACGGGCATACTGAGCCCCAACGACCTCGACACGATCTTCTCCAACGTGGCGACCATCTTCGAGATCCACAAGAACCTGCTGCAGGACATCTCCCATATCAAGGACAAGGAGCGCGCCCAGAGTACTATCCGCACCACAATCTGAGCTCTAAATAGCTCGAGCTGCAACATTTGAGGCCTCAACGCGATCTTACCATTCCTCCTTTTTGTTGTTTTGCTGCCGCGATTCTAGCGGGCAAGTCGTTCGGTGATTCGCTCAAGGCCTTCATTCCATTCCTGAAGATGTACACCGTCGTACGTGAATCCCTCTGCACCACATGCGCACTATACTTCCTGCTCACGGGCGTACACACACACCACACACACCACACACACCACACACACCACACACACCACACACACCACACACACCACACACCACACACACCACACACACCACACACACCACACACACCACACACCACACACCACACACCACACACCACACACCACACACCACACACCACACACACACACACACAGTATATCAACGCCTTCGACGATGCCAACAAGCGCATCGGCGAGCTGATGAACACGTCGAAGAAGTTCGCTGCCTATCTGCAAGGTCTGGCCCGTTGTAGGCTTTCGGTCGTACACAGGCTTGCGCCGCTGAATCTCGCCCCACACTTCAATTAACGTTCGCCACCACACAGAGGCCCAGGCGCGGCCCGAGTGCAAGAAGCTGGACTTGACGTCGTACCTGATCATGCCCGTGCAGCGCCTACCGCGATACGAACTGCTCCTGCGGGATCTCATCAGGCTGACCCCGCCCGAAGACTCTGAACACCCCAAGCTGAGCTCGCTCTTGGGTACCAAAAAGCCATTTCCGTTCCACCGTCTCCATCGCTGTCAGTACGCTCGCTCGGCTGTCACTCATCGTCGGTTCGGTTGGTACAGAGGCTGTGGTGTTGGTCAACAAGCATGTGAACGAGAGCAAGAAGAATGCCGAACTTCGACAAAAGTATGCTGGGCCTCCAACACGACACGCACGACACAGATCACGGGAGAGCTGCATGCTGACGTTGTAGTCTTCCTGCACACCACTTGCAGGTTGTACAGACTCCAGGTCTCGATCAAGGACAAGGTCGACATCTTCTCTCGGGTCAACCGACATCTGATCCGAGAGGGCTCCTTCCAGTCCTACGAGCTCCGATTGCAGGACCAGGGCAAAGAAACCGCTGCGTAATTCCTCCACTCTTTGTCGTGTGTCGTGCGTGTTGCGCGCGTGTCGTGCGTGTCGTGCGTGTCGTGCGTCGTGTCTCACCACATGGCAAACAACAGGGAGAGAGGGTTCGCGGTACCGTCGGCACACTCCCCGTTCCATAGGGAGCTGGCGCGGCAGAACGTGGAGGGCGTGAGCCTGCTCAACGTCTCGCTCAAGCGGCTGCCCTTCAAGGAGCGCTACTTCTTCCTCTTCGATGACTACCTCCTCGAGGTCTCACTGCCCACACGAAGCGGCAAATACAAATTCATCCGGTGCGTCTCCAGGGAGGACTCGACCGACCACAACACCATCACACTCCACCGCACACGCATACGCACACAACCGCACACGCACACGCATACAACCGCACACACATACGCATACAACCGCACACGCGATTGTGTTCTGACTGGGTTGGGTTCGGTCCGAACAGGAAAGTCGACCTCAGAAATATGACCGCGGTCTCGTGGGAGAAGGACAAGGAGCGAGAGCTCAAGGACCTGTTCCCACAGCGGGCGCCGAATGCGAACTCCGAAACCCCGGTACGTGCGGTGTCATCTACATCTACAATTTAATGAATAATATCTGCATATGTAGAACTAAATATTGAAGCTACATATTGGACACAATATTAACCTGACAGCTGCTCGTGTGTGTGTGGTTTCGTGCAGACGTTGTCGAACGAGATATTGATGCTGAGTCCAGCCATCATGGAAGACGAAGACAAACTGGTACACTACCCATTTCCCAGCAGACCGTCACGGTGGGCGCCCCACTTTTCTAACGGTATCGAATGGAACGGCTCCGCTTGGCAGGTCCTCTCGGTGGTGGATGGAACTAAACGCTACCTCTACAAATTCAAATCCACGACTGAGCGCGATGATTGGCACGACGTACTCAACAAACAATCCGCCAAATGTACAGCTAGCACGCATGCGCACCCACACACACACACTCACGCGCACGCACACACAACCGCACACGCACACGCACACGCACACGCACACACACGAGTGGCACACCGTGGCGCATGATACGACCAAACTCAATCTCTCCTTATTCGACGGCCGTGCAGGCAAGGCGGAACCAGCGAGCGCAGTGCCCGAGCTGGAAATCGCGGTACGCCCTCCTCGTCTTTTGCGTGCTGTGGTGCACACTGATGTGACCTCATCGACGCACCATACAGGACCGAGGGCAGTCCTCGCTAAGCAACCTGCTCGGTTTCAGCCCAGCATCAAGTAATACGACTTTCTATGTGTGTGCGGTGTGTGCGTGCGTGCGTGGTGTGCGCTTGATACAGTCGCTAACGCGCACGTACCCTCGCACAGTGCTGACGCCGCGGGAAGTGAAGAGGCCCAAGAAGTCCAAGAAGAAGTCCAAGTCGAAGAAGCTCGCCTCGTCGGCCACCTCGCTGGTCGCGGGCAAGAAGAAGCGCTCGGCCGACTTGCTCGCTCTCGACTCCGGCGCCGCGCCCGACTCGCCCACGATGGCCCGGACCGCCTCGGCCATGGCCGACGCCGCAGCAGCCTATGTCGCCGAGGTCGACCGCCGGGCCAACCCGCCGACGGTCGCGCGCAGCACGAGCAGCCTCGCCGTCACGTCCAAGGAGACCGCCACCGCGAAGAAGGAAAAAAGAAAAAGGAAAAGAAGGAAAAGAAAGAGAAAGAGAAGCACGACAGCGACAAGGCCATCGGCGGCGACGGCAGCGGCCTCGGGTCTGGCGCGCGTCGCAGCAAGAGCCTGGGTCCGGCCCGGTCCAAGGCCCTGCTCCGTGAGATCAACCTGGGGCTGGCAGTGGCCAACAACAGCGACGTGGTGGCCCCGCG